TATCTAAATTGCATGTATTTCTTGAAAAATTAAGGAAGAAAAAATTTTTAAAAAGATAAAGGCTCTCAGGGCCAGGTGCAGTGGCTCAGGCCTGTAATCCTAGCAATCTGGGAGGCAGAGGCAGGAGGATCACTCAAGGTCAGGAGTTTGAGACCAGCCTGAGCAAGAGGGAGACCCTGTCTCTACTAAAAAATAGAAAGAAATTAATTGGCCAACTAAAAATATGTAGAAAAAATTAGCTGGGCATAGTGGCACATGCCTATAGTCCCAGGTACTCAGAAGGCTGAGGCAGGAGGATTGCTTGAGCCCAGGAGTTTGAGGTTGCTATGAGCTAGGCTGACGCCACAGCACTCTAGCCCAGGGAACAGAGCGAGACTTTGTCTAAAAAAAAAAAAAAAAACATAAAGGCTCTCAAGATCTGAGTGACTTTTTGTGTCTTTACTACCATGCACCCCATTCCAAGAAGGATGCATGGATGTATACACACATGCGTGTGTGTGTGTGTACATAAGTACACTTTTTTAAAAAAACCTTTTTTTAATATTTTGAGGGAAACTCTATACTGGGCAGGCTTATAAATGAGATAAACTCTTAAGTCTCATCTAGGGCTTGGAACTCCTTACTCTACTTCCCAGTTCTTTGGGAGTTGGCACTGCTCAGTACATAGCACTAAGTTGTAAGTGGATAAGCCACCCACTCCATCTTCTAGAGATGTTCACAGTCCACAGGAGTAGGCAGGTAAACTAGTTAGTGGTTGCAGTCCTGTGCTAGGTACTGTGTGAGAGTAGCAGCTCCCACTGTGGACAGACTTAGGTTGGGGCAGGGGTGGTTTTCAGACAAGGCTGAACTAAGGAGAGGGCATTGATTCTAAGGCATTGAGCCCTAGAATGTTCAGTGAGAGCTCGTCCTTCAGGGAAGGCTGGCAGAGCATTCTAGGCTGAACATTCTAGCATATGTAGTGGAGGGTGTCACCCTGCCCCACCAGAGTATCATTCTGGAGACCCTGGACAAGGCAAGGCAAGGCAAGGGTCTTGCAAGACCTGGGAAGCTCCCAGTCCTGCTGGGTCGGCTCCTCCAGGTGTGGGAGGGCATGGTCTGCTGCATGTAGCAGCAGGTGCTTTCGGTGATCCTGGAGCAAAGTCCTGATTGAACTTGTGCCCGCATTTACAGGATCATGGTGGGAGTTTGCCTGATTGCCCCCACCACAGAAAGCAGATGGGGTGCAGATACCCTCAGGGAGGCCGGAGGGAAGGGCAGTGGGACCACCGTGGAGAGTTTGCTGGTATACTCTGATATACTCCATTGAACTGCTGGAATACGCTTTATTCATTTGGAATCATAAGTAAAACCAGGGAGCGAAGTCTGCCTGGTACTTGGCTTTGCAGGCTTTATAGATATTTCTGGATACTCAGAGTTACCCCAGAGCAGTGTTGTTGAGCAATGTGCTCCCTGTTTCCCTGGACAGTAACTAATCTTTGAGCCACTTGCTTGGGCCCATTGTCCATTCCCATCATGAGAGCCTGAAGACACCAATACGTAAATTTTTTAATCTAATGTAACTAAATCAAATAGAGCAGTGGTTAAGAATCCTACAACTAAGTTAGGTTGAAAGTCTCTCCATTTATCTTGGGAATTTTTTTAACCGTTTTAGAGTATAATTTTTTACTCAGGCATTAATTACTTTCGTTTTTAAGATATCTCATGGATTGTTATCAAGGTTGCACATGCAGATGTAAATTCAGGGCACAGCACATGGTAAGCATTCAATAACTACCAGTCGTTACGACTAAAGATTAACCAGCACAGTGTATATAGAGAGAGCACTAAACTCTTAGTCAGGAAACCTGGTTTCTGATCCCAGCTCTACCCCAAAAATCCTAGAGGTAAAGAGAAACTGAGCTGGGAAAAGGCCTTATGAATCTTTTAGTATCAGCCAGGCTCAGTGGTTCACGCCTGTAATCCTAACATTTTGGGAGGCCAAGGCGGGAGGATTGTTCCAGCCCAGGAGTTTGAAACAAGCCTGGGCAACACAGCAAGACCCCATCTCTATGAAAAACTTTAAAAATTAGCCAGGCGTGGTGGATGCACCTAGTCCCAGATACTCTGGAGGCTGAGTAGGATCTCTGGAGCGCAGGAGTTCTAGGCTACACAGTGAGCTATGACCGTGCCACTGCACTCTACCCAGGCAACAGAGGGAGACCCTATCTCTAAAAACAAAAAAAAAAAAGAAGAAAGAAAGAAATCTTCTAGTATTTAGTACAACAACATTATTTTCAGAAACTTAGACCTAGAAAAGCATAAGGGCCCAGGTTTATTAGCCGTAACTTAAATGTTCTCTCAAACATTTTTTTTTTTTTTTTGAGACAGAGTCTCGCTTTGTTGCCCAGGCTAGAGTGAGTGCCATGGCATCAGCCTAGCTCACAGCAACCTCAAACTCCTGGGCTTAAGCAATCCTTCTGCCTCAGCCTCCCGAGTAGCTGGGACTACAGGCATGCGCCACCATGCCCGGCTAATTTTTTCTATATATATTAATTGCCCAATTAATTTCTTTCTATTTATAGTAGAGACGGGGTCTCGCTCTTGGTCAGGCTGGTTTTGAACTCCTGACCTTGAGCAATCCACCTGCCTCGGCCTCCCAGAGTGCTAGGATTACAGGCGTGAGCCACCGCGCCCAGCCCTCTCATACATTTTTAAAGCAAGAAGAATAATTGCTCCATCCCATTCTAGGATTATTTCAAGGACAAAGAGTTAGTGCATGTCAAGCTCAGACAGCAGAGTAAGTCCTTAATTAATACACATCATCTAGTAGCATTGTTATTGTCAATTCCCTGTTTGGTTACCTTCCCCTTCTGTTTGACTGCAAGGATAGAGACTTGTCCTCCTTGCTTATTGTCCTGTCCCCACCATCTAGCACAGTGTGTCACAAGTAAGTGCTCAGCCAGTGTGTGCTGAATGACTGAAGGAAGTATCTTACTGAGGGTAGAATTTAGGCCAAGTCTGAATCAGAACACGTACCTCAACTCTAAGGTCCAGGCTTTCCACACGGTTCCACATAGGCTTTGACCTCTGAGCCTCAGTTTCCTCACCTTGTACATGATCCATAGGTCCCTCCTGGGGGTGGGCACCATGTATACTGTAGGTGAAGGTCCCTCCTATACGCCAGTTTTTTGTGGAGACCCGTGTTTATGTTAGACTGGCCACTAGATGTCGTGGTTGGTCAAAGAGCAGAGAAACCAAACCAAAAAAAAAAAAAAAAAGAGGAATTGAACCTTTTGCTCTACCTGTAGTATAGTGGGAGTGATCTTATATGGTAATCGGAAACTAGTAACCTTTGGAAGAGTTGGCTAGGTCCCCGGGAGTTCCCCCAGGATTTGCATGCATGGACTTTGGAACCAGGTTTGAGTAAGAGCCCACAGCTCTGCTCACACCAGCTGGGACCTCTTGAGGCACACTGGAACTTCCCAGGGTGCTTGTTTTAGCATTTTGCCATGGTGGAGGAAGAGTGCCACAAAGTTAGTAGCTATGAGGACCATTTCTGGTATTTGATACCATAAAACGCCACTTTTTTTGTTCCCTGCCAAGCCAAGTGCTAAAGCTTTGCAGGTTTTGTGCTTTACTCCCTGTTTTACAAAGCCAGATTTAAAAATAGCCCCTTAAACAGCAGAGTGGACAGTGCGTCAGTGTCAGGCTAAAAGGGCAGCCTAGGATATTTGGAGGGATATCAGAACTCCTTGGACTGTCACCGTGGAGCTTCGTCAGCACAAAGCAGAGTGTTTTATACATACTTGGGGGTGGGGTGGTGAGAAACAGCATTGTCACAAAATGTCCCTTGCTGAAATTGTTCGAGGAAAGGATTCCTTTGTTGCATGGACTACTGTTCAGATCTGGGTGTGTTATTTTTTAAATAATTTGGGGAGACTCATCTAGGAATAGTAACGACTAGTATTTATTGCACACTTACTGTGTACAAGGTATTGTGCAAAACACCATGCATGTACTGTTGCATTTAATCCTCACAGCAACCATATGCGGTGCAGGTATAGTTATTATGCCCATTTTATAGATAGATGAGGAAATTGAGGTGCGGCAAGATTATAATAATAATAGCCAGCAGGTATTAAGTACTTACTAGAAGTCAGGCATTATTCTAAGAGCTTTAAGTATTATTCTTACAATAATCCCATAAGGTACGTGCCATTATTCAGTTTAGAGAACTGAGACACAGAGAGGTTATATAGCTTTGTCAAGGTCACACAGGGAATGAGTAGAAGAGTCAGCACACAAACCCAGACCTACCTGATTCCAGAGTTCCTTTTTTTTACCCACTGCACTATGTTGCCTCCCACAGTACGTTGTATGCAGTAGGTCCTTGGTAAATATTTACTGAGTTGAATAGGTCTCAGGCTATAATTAGTCAACACGGAGAAGACTCCCTAAGTAGGAATCATACAGACCTTAACACTCCTCCCGCCCACCACACCCCCACTGGCCTCCATTAGTATTATGGGATACATATGCTGTTCCCTGTGCTGGATTTCACTCCTCTAACTTTAAAAAAAATTTTTTTTTACTGATGTATAATAGTTATATATATCTTAGGGGTACATACAATATTTTCCTATATGTATATAATGTGTAGTGGTCAAATCAGAATAATTGGGATAGCTATCACCTCGAGCATTTTTATCTTTTCTTTGTGTTGGGAACATTACAAATCTTCTCATCTAGCTGTTTGGAAATATACAGTAAATTAAAACTGTTACTTCCCACTGTGCTATCGAATACTAGAATTTATTTCTTCCATCTAACTGTATTTTTGTACTCCTTAACCACCTTCTCTTCACACCCCTGGCCCTTTCCCGCCATGGCCTCTGGCAACCACCCTTCTACCCTGTCCCTCCATGAGATCCACTTTGTTAGGTCCCACATGTCACCCCTCACTTTTTGTTTATAATAAGATACTCTTCCTTCCATGAGAGCAGTCAGGAAGAGGCGCTCACCATGGCGAATGTCTTGAAGACATACTTCCACAGGAAGCATCTCAGCTCATTTTCTTTGCTTCACGTTTTTCTGGCAGAGACACTTCTTGGGGCTGTTTGTTCTGCCATAGCCCTGTCTGGCTTTGTCTCTTGAGCCTCTACAAGCCAGGGCCGGGGGTCACCAGGCAGCCGTCTGTGCTGCCCCGTGAGTGCGCGCTCCAGTGTGCGTGTGGTGGCCACTCAGCCGTCCACCAGCACGCTCCCCGGTCCTGCCGCCAGGCCGGTGCCAGCGGTGGCGAAGAACACAGGGGTCTGCTGCCCGGGGTAGACAGCTAGCTGCTGTTAGCACGCAGTAGTGTACCCGGAAGTCTGAGGAGGGAAAGCAGGACCCAGGGCACACGAATCCTTCGCCAGGTGTAATAATTCACCTGGATCTGTAATAATTCACCAAGGATCTGGTCGCTTATTTGTTCTAATGTGTCTCTACAATAGGAACCTCAAACAAAATGGAAACCTCCTTTTCAGACCTGTGAGTTTGAGCACTGAGTTTTGTTTTTTGTAGCCCCCTGTCCATTGCACCTTTTTCTCTTTAAGTGAGCTGAGCCGTCTCGAATCTTTCTCAGAACTTCTCAGGACTCCCTGGCATCTCTGGGCAGCCCTGGTTTAGCCTCTCAAGGAAAGCAGTGATTTTCCTTCTGAAATTTTCTCCTTCTAAATACAAGATTTTTTCCAGTAACTAAGATTATACATATCAAACGAGATAGTGGGAGAGTTGGAGCTGCTGGAGGGAAGGTGATAGTCAGTAAAGTCCATACGGAGGCAGGAGGGCGTGCAGTTGAGAGGCCAGGTGACAAGGCTCCCATTTGTCACAGCCCCTGTGACAAAGGTGCTCTTGCTTGGCACCTTCTGACCGTGTCTGTCTTCGTTCACCTTCCCGGTGTACAGTTGGAAGCAAGTTAGTGTTTGCCTTGTCATTAGAGAGCTGGTGGACACTCAAGCGCCAGAAAGAGGTGTGAGTCATGGGTCAGAGGAGATTCTAGGTTCATATGGATGTTTTCTTTCTCCTGTTTAGAGCAGTGCTTCCTACCTGTTTTCTCATACAAATTGAACATTCCTAATCCAAAAATCTGAAATCCAAAATGCTCCAAAATTGGAACCTTCTGGAGTGCCAACAAATAGAGTGATGCTACAAATAGGAAATTTCACACCTCACTCCGTTACTTTCTAATAGTTAAATGTACACAAACTTTGTTTCATGCACGGAATTATTGAACTATTGCATAAAATTACCATCAGGCTATGTGTGTAAAGTATATATGAAACATAAGTGAATTTTGTGTTTAGGCTTGGGTCCCATCTCCAAAATACCTTATATATATATATGCAAATATTCTAAAATCCAAACTCCGAAACACTTCAGTCCCAAGCATTTCATATAAGGCTGTGGTCCCCAGCCCCTGGGCTTCAGCCTGGTACTGGTCCACGGCCGGTTAGGAACTGGGCCACCTGAGCTCTCTTCCACCTGCCCCCAGCCCTGTCCCCCCATTTGTGGAAAAATTGTCTTCCATGAAACCAGTCTCTGGTGGCAGAAATGTTGGGGACTGCTGATATAAGGGATACTCACCCTGTAATGGCACACGTGGAAAAGTCGCACTGTAGTATGGAGGAAGATGCGCATGGCTGGAGGTTCTGCATGCCCAGGCCCTGCCTGGCCACCTGCGGCTGAGGCACACTGGTTGGGACGCTATGCTTCAGAGGATCGTAAACCTGGGAGTGCACGTGACCCCTGCAGTCCAGTTGGTCGATTTTAGACAATGTGAGGCCCAACCTCTTGGTGGGACTTGTGGAAAAACTGAAGGTCAAAGAGGTGTGACCACTTGCACTGGGTCACTGAGGGATCAGTGGCCGTGCTGGGACCAGAACCATCCCCGTGCTCACAGATCTGTGGGACGGGCAAACGAGGAGGCAGGGCTGCACGTCACACCCGTACACACCCATGAGCACACACATGCTCACACAGCCTCAACAGGAGCTGCTCTGTTTCTCTGAAGGTATCAGGCGCCCATATTTCATTCCAGCAAAGTGTTCTACAACCAAAAAGAAATATTAAAACAGCTGCACTCTACCATGTGGCCTCCAGCTCAAACTTACTGCCCATCCTGGACCAGAAGATGGGAGGCTGGTGTCCAGAGCCATCATCTTGTGAGCAGTAGCCACAGCATCACATGCTTCTGGGGACCCATGCCTGGCATTGTCTGTCATCGGCTTATTTCTTGGATGAGAAGCCCCTGTTATTCTGCAAGGAATTACTGTAGCAGCCCCTCCCCTGCTTGCCCTGATTTCAGCCTTGTCTCTCCCACCCCATGATGCAGCCAGAGGGGCTCTTTATAAACTACAGAACTGATCACGCCGCTCTCCTTGTTCCCTCTTTGTCTCCCTTTGATTGACGAACTTCTGCTTGTGTTCGGATGCAGCGTGGGTGTTCCACTGGAAGGAACGCAGCACGCTAGGTCTGGCCTCGAAATCCCTATTGCGCCCTGTCCCTTACCTGTTACAGCATTCATCACTCTGTTTTGAAGTTGTCTGTTTTCCCCTCCTCCCCCTAGACTTAAGCCCCTGGAGGACAGTGCGACTGTCTCATCTGTGGTTGTAGCCCCGGGGCATGGCACAAACAGGTGGGCATTCGGTGCCCTCACATCCAGCAGGCAGCTCTGCCACTCAAACTTCAGGCTTTGCTTCATTATACAATGGTTAGCTCTGCTTGTTCTATTTTTAAAGCTTTAGCATCTTGGCGGGATCAAGGTTCTCATATAAACAACCCAAAACAACTTAACACTAGTGATTTCCTAGGACCAGGATATATTTAGCAAAATTTGTTGATAATTATTGTTCATCACTATGACCGTAGGACATTATAAAAGTCTTAAGTGCCCTTGACTCATCAGAGGCAAGTTAGATTATTCATTTAGCAAACATTTGGAGTCTCCACTTTGTACAAAGCATGTGGAGTACATGTGCTCAGTGCAGTGAGGCATGTAAGGATGGACACGATGCGTTTGCCTCTTGATGTGGACTATAGAGCTTTCATATTTTGTTCATGTTTGTTCCTATGTTGAGCATTAAAAAAAAAGAAACAAACAAATTAGTCCACTGAAGTCCCATCTGAAGCGCAGTGGGACCTTATAGTGTGAGGTCAGAAGAAGATGGTTGCTCTTCATTCAAGCCCTGGAGCAGGATAAGCCACCCACCTTTGGAGCATACAAGGATATAACAAATGCAAACCCTGTCCTCTTAAAGCCCACAGTCTAAAAAGAGAAACAAGGCTTGACCGTGAGTACCTCTAAGACAAAGTAAGAAGTGAAAAATACCTAACAGTCTATATCTGTTGAGCTACAAGTAACAGAAAACCCAACTCAAACTGGCCTAAACCAAAAAGAGACTTATCTATTATAAAAAGTTCACATATAGTCTGTGTCTCCAGTTCACTAATTCAACAGATCAAAGCAACATCATGTGCTTTCCATCTGTTATGCCATCAGAGCATCAGCCGGCTCTCCTCCTAGGCACAGAAAGGTTGCAGGCATCCTGTCCTCTCATACCAGTGCCAAGGCAGAGAAAGAATTATTTTTTGTGTATCTTTCTCTAAGAATGAAGAGACTTGGAAACCCCCCAGCCAACTTCCCCTCATGTGTCATTGGCCAGAACTGGAACACATGCCCTCCCTCACAAACAGGCTGGGCCATTTATGTGACCTAAACCAATCTGAATTTACCCTTGTCACATGCAGAATGAGTGAACTTGGAAGGGGAAGGCTAGCAAGGAGGGGCGAGAGTGCCTGCTGTAGAGGGTGTCAATAAAAACCTTCCATGCCCCAGAGGAGGCCAGCACGGGCGCTCACAGAGCTCGCTGCTAGTGCAGAAGACCGAGAGCATGCTCCCTGTTCTAATGGGAGAGACGGGGCACTGGGAGCACGTCAGCAGGGCTCCCTGGAGGAGGTGATGTCTCCGTTGTGAATACGGTTTAAAGAGGGGAGGGCCACGATCAGATTTTCCCTTCCGAGCGAACTCTCTGGCTGAGAAGGATGCACTGGAGGGGCTGCTGAGGGAGGCAGAGAGAGCTGGCACGCTGTTGCAGTTATCCAGTGGTGTGCCCCTTATTGCCCCAACAAGGGTGGAGGCAGTGGGGCTAAAAACATACTCATTTGAGAAATGCTGAGGAGGACTAAGCAGGACTTGGGATAGAAGAAGGGGTGCGGTGGAGGAGAGGGGGGAGTCCGGGATGCCTCCAGGGAGTCTGGCTTGGGCAGCTGCCCGGATGGCAGTGCCACTCCCTGAGCTGAGCCCACAGCAGTAGGCGGAGCTCTGTGGTGGGGACGGGAATGATGAGGTCAGGAATGACCGGAGCTTAGCGTGTGGGAGGCGGGCGGGGTCTCGCCGAGCTGGAGAGGTAACCCGGAGTCAGAGCCCGCAGGGCCCTGTGGGCTGTGCAGAGTTGGAGGTGGGGAGAGGTGGAGGAAAGGAGATGCCATGAGCAGAGCACACCTCTCCAGGCACACACGGGCAACACGTATGTGACAGGAAAATGGTCTGCACAAAGTGCACTAGAGGAGAGGGTGAGGCAGCCAAAAAGGGATGGGGACACACTAGAGTGACAACACCTGCCTTGTGTACAGCAGCCTCAAAAGAGAAGGGACCACCTGCTTGCAACCTGGTAGAGTGCTTACGTGCACTGCCACGCTCGCCACTCACCACCTGTCCTGCAGGCAGGCATCTCCCTCTGACAAATACAGAAACAGCCGCCCACGGAAACTGCCCCAGGGAGTCAGGCCAATTCTGTTCTCCCTTCTCAGGCCAGTAAAGATGCTCTCTTTACTACAGACCCCTTCAAAGGATCTTTATTCACTAACGACCAAGTGTTTTGCTAAGTGCTATGGATACAGAGCACAGTCCAATATGGGACACAGAGAAAGGCAAAAAGAAAAAAAAAAAAAAAACCAGCATCGAAGCATGAAGGCAGAAACAGAGCTACGAGTGACCGTGGTGCTCCCCACGCTCGGAGGTGAGTGCGTGCCAGGAGCAGATGCGTGCCAGCCATCGGTTCTGGCTCGCCTGCCTGCGCAGCACTCCCTGCTTTATGATGTAAATAACTAAATAGCCTCCAGTGGTGACACTTGTCCTGGATCATCTGTGCACTGTAGAGCATGAGTTGAAACACAGAGAGTACAGGTTGAGTATCCCTTATGCAAAATGCTTGGGACCAGAAGTGTTCCAGATTTGGGATTTGGGGATATTTGCATTATGTACTTACAACTTGAGCATCCCAAATCTGAAGTGCCCCAGTGAGCATTTCCTTTGAGTATCATGCCAGTGCCTCAAAAATTTCAGATTTTGGGATATTTTGGATCTCAGATTTTCAGATTTGGGATGGTCAACCTGTATTTGAAAACAGGAGCTTTGGGCTGGGTGCAGTGGCTCACACCTATAATCCTAGCACTTCAGGAGGCCAAAGCGGGAGGATCGCTTGAGGCCAGGAGTTTAAGACTAGCCTGGGCAATAGTGGGACCCCATCTCACAAAAAATAAAAAAATTAGCCAGGCATGGTGGCATGTGCCTGTAGTTCCAGCTACTGGAAGGCCAAAGCAGAAGGATTCCTTGAGCCCAGGTGTTGGAGGTTGCTGTGAGCTATGATGATGCCACTACACTCCAGGCTGGGTGACACAGCAAGACCCTATTTCAAAAAAAAAAAAGAAAGAAAAGAAAAGAGAGAGAGAGAGAAAGGAAAGAAAGAGAGAAAGGAAGA